AGTTTTATAGAAACAATAAAATTAATCCAGGTTCACAAATATATAAAAGCAAGAATCAGTTTAAATTTTTCATAATAAAAAGATGGGCATAAGCAAGACTATCTGAGTACAAGAACAATGTAGACACCGAAACAGACACACCTCTGCATAGAAGATAGATCATACTATCTGGAAACTGTAAAGAGGAAAAGAGATGACAAGAAGACATACTAGGCCATTGAAGGAGATAGTATTGATCAATAAATTATTCAATCGGGCAAAAACTTTAGACTTATGTAAACGTTTGGCAAAAATCCCAAAACCATTTTTCGAACCGTGAAAATTGGTCTCAAGAAATATTCTTCACATTACAATGTGCTAGAAAAAATAAAAAACAAGCTCGCTACGTCACGAACTCTGTGTCCAATGATTGCATGTTTTCTCATATGCATACATTATGGTGTAATATTTTGTTAATTATTTCATCTCAATACATAATTTGCAATCATAACTATAAAATGAATCAAGTGTCACTTTTGCGTAGATGTAGAGAGGTTTACGCTCATAAGAGTGACACGATTTCAATGGAACAGTAGGTGTCGACTATTCCATATAACCGACTTCAAATTTTTTGACAAAATGTACCACAAGAAAGCCCCCGTCATTTATGACATTTCGAAAGTCATAATTGCAAACACAATGTTAATGTCACATAAACTAACCAATATTATTTCTTGCCGCATCAAATGTTCCATGAAAACACCACAAAAACACAAAACTACCAAAACAAATTGAGATTACATTTAGAAAAAGAAATAGAAATTACCATAGCAACCTCAAGAGCCTCCACTGCAAGCTTCTCCATAAGAACCTGCGTCGTATCGTAAACAATCTGGTTCTTCAAACCTAACACAAAAAATAAACAAATGCATAAGAATCAAGAAAATCTCACTAATGATCCTCAACCTATTAATTGAGTAGAAAGTTAATATATAGAGCAAAATGAAAACAAAATTGGGCTTAACTGGAAACGGCATGTACAAGGTGAACGGTATCAGCGAGGCGGCAGAGATGAGTTATTGCCCAATGAAAAGCGTGTTTGCTATTGGGTCCATGATCAACAGCGATTATTATGTCGCGTCCTCTCCTTCTCTCTCCGGTTTCTCTCTCCAGTTCCAGCTCCGGCACAACTGGTATTAGCGACGAGAGTTTCACTTCTCTCCAGTTGTACTCTTCTTCCTCCATTAACGGATCCATTTCGTTGACTTGATTCTCTGTTTTTTTCCCTCTCTCTATATCGACTTTGAATTCATTTTAAAGTTAAAAACTGACAATGGGATTGAAGAAATTTGTGGGTTTTTTATGCAACAACGATATGAATCTCGTGCGCGGTGCTTTTTGGACTGTCCAGCTGCCATTGAAATTTCGTGTTGATATTGGATTACATTTCTTATTATTTTACCAATGTGGTGGAAATGACGCGTAAGAGTCCATGTTATTTTTTCCACATACAATAATTGGTTCTTTTTCTTGACAAATTTTCCAAAATATTCCTTGACCAAAATGATTAATGGAATAATAAAAATTTATAAATATGTCATAAATATTTAATAATATTTCTAAAAAAAAGTTTTCATCTCCCTCGATCTTCTTCATACTCGTTATTCCTTTTTTTCTCGTCAAGATATGTCTCAATACTTGTCTTTTCTCCTTCTTCGATCCCTTAGTCCCTGTTTGTTGCATATTGTGAGTCCAAAAATGTATTTTTTTTGTTTGATATGATGGGGAATATGTTGAAAATAAAAGAAAAGTTATTGATGTGATGAAAAATATTATTTTATTGAAAAATGTGTGATTAAAAATGAATAAAAGAATAAGAATAAAAAAAATAATGTGGCTCAAATAGGCACTTAATTGTGTGGTCGAAAGCAGCTCAGGATTTTCAAGAACAATAAGAACTGAGGGATGGCATGATCTGGCATTAGAAATAAAGAAGAAGAAGAAGAAGAAGAAGAAGCAATAAAATTGGAAGCATTTAATAAAAATTTTATTTTATTTCTCTAACTCGATTTAAGAACAAAATTCATCTTTTTAATTCAAATTTCAATTTGTGCCGAGCTGTTCGCCACATTTCCAGAACCTTTCGAAATTTTGAACTTTTCAAAACCATTTGACTAATTTCATTCCATACAAGAATAATTCTTTTCTTGGCTTTTCTCGACTTAGTTTGACTATCGATATGTTTTAAAATAAAATGTGATAATTAATAAAAAGTTAAGTTGAGAATAATAATGCAATAAAAAGTGAAATAACTCAAATTAATGTCAATTCTGTTGCACCAAGAATACCTTAGGCAATAACTCAAAAAGTGAAGAAAAAAGAGAGAAACTTTTCTGCCTACAAAAACCTTAAGCTACGACAAAATTATTAAAAATAAATAATAGCAAGGGCAAGGGCAAGCCTACAAAATTAATTATGGTGAATCATCGTCTCCCTCCTACATAGAGGGAAGCCCTGTTAGTCTCTCTTAAACCCTTTTGGCTACAGAAGAACCCCCCTCACTTGCAGTTCTCCTCACATTCAAAGATAGCATTTCCCTCTACGTCCTTTTACTTCCCCATTTTTCCTTACCCTTTTCCTGGTCCCTGTGCCGATCCTTTACCTTTCTGCTTTACCTTTGTTTCTTTAACCCGCTTGCTCATTCCCTGCTTCCTGGCATCCTTTTTCATTCGTCGATCAACAAGAACTTTCCCCTTGCCAGCCTTAACTTGGACACCCTTTTTTGCTACCACATATTCCTTCTTAGGTTTTTTAGGTGTTGCCTTCTTTTTAAAGCTGTTCAATCATTTTCCTCTTCGAACCATCAGATATTTCTGTCTGGTCCGATATAGAGTTCGCCTTCTTGCGTACCTTTTCTAGTTGCCTATGGGCAGCTCGTTTCTTTCTAGCTTTGGCTTGTGCCACCTTCTTAGCAGGCCGAGCATCAATTTCTTTGAATTGTGCTCTCGTTGCAGCAATCTTCTCTTTTGTCACTGGCTTGGTTGGCTGATAAACCTCTTTTCCTCATCCACAAACCATTTGGGTAATCCCTCATCATGGAACATATATTTGTTGTACGCATCATCAAGAATCTGTTCCCTCTACTTTTTCGTCAGCATCTTCTTTGCACAAGCCAATATCTCTGCTTTTGAATTAATGTCATCTTCATCCAAGTTGTCTGATGAAGAATCACTAGAATCTGTATGTGGAGTAGGAACTATCTCAAAATCATCTACCTTGGAAGCTTTGACTGTCGATAATTTACTCGTCCTTGAATCCATGTATTTTTTTGGTGAATCTTCAATTTTCTTCTCCTGAATTTCGGGATGTTTGACCGGCAAATCCATCTGCATTTCGTCTTCGCTATCATCATTCTCCAAATCCTCTCTTTCATCAGAGTCCATGAAGACATCTTGGCTGAACCATTTTGCTGCAATCTCCTCCTGACTTGGTGCATTCTCTATGAGTGGTACCACAAGGGGATTCACCTCACGATCTCCATCATTATCGGAGTCTTGATCAGAATGAACCATGTTATTGTCATCGTCGCCCTGCCCAAACCATAAAAAAATAAAAGATACCTATTTAGCAAAGTGCATTTTGTACTTAAAAAATAGAACAATAAAGCAGAGAGGGATTGATAAACATGGGCAATGACCTTGGCTCGTCTTTTTGCTAGAAGTTTCTTTGCCCTTTTCTTCTTCTGTTCCATGGCATTAGTCAACTCCTCCATTTCATTGAGAATTCTCTCATCTTCATCTTGCTTGCTCTCACGTTCCACAGCCGTTGTCGCAGAAGTAGCCTTCTCTGAGGGAGATAGCGACTTTCTTATATGTATACGCCATCTACACCACATCACAAACATCGAAGGGCACAAAATCTTGCAAGACAAACACAAAATCACCACATATGGGAAATATCTGCTTATAAGATTCTTGACACAATCTTACCTTATAAGATTCTTGAAGTCTTGCTTCCTCAGAACATGAAGGTCGTCACACAGATCTTTAACCTGTCCAGTATTAAAGGAAATAGCAGTTTAATGGTCAGAGAACAAGATAGTGAACCAGGCAGATTATACAAGTTTCCTTGAGTTCACTCGCATATGAAGAATAAAAAAGAAGAAAAGAGTAAAACACACCTCGTCGATTGTCAAAGTATGATCCTTAATGGGTGAACATGCAAGATCCTCGAATGTTATAGAAGTAACTGAACCAAGGATCTCAAGAGGAGAGTTAGACCAAACAAAGTCAGCTGCAGAGCAGACCTTCCGCAAAGTTGTGTCTCCATCTTCATACCTGCAAAGCGAACCTAATCAATACGAATGCATAAACATCCACGTACATGGAGATCTGTAAAAAGTAAAAGAAAAGAAACAAGATTTGCATAAGCTTCTCATTCATTTAAGAAAACCCTATGATAGAGTGTCGTGGGAATTATAATTGTGGGTCCTATATACAAAAAGAATTTCCTTCAAGTTATCCATATTATCAAGGAAGTATCCAGCTGTGAGATGTAGCAGAGGTGATAGATTTGCATCAAGGATCTGTACTGGGCTTTATTGATTTGATTTAGTGGTGGATGTGCTTAAGACATAGTGATGGCAACGGAGCGGGTTAGACAGGGAGGGGCTCGGGGCGGGGCGGGTGCCGGGCGAGGGCATGGCCCGTTTATTTTTTTGTTATTTTTAATTTTTTTTAATTTCCAGTTACAATACAAATTCAAAATTTTAAAATTCAAAACAAATAATGCTCAAACTAA